AAATAAATGAAACAAACAACCCCCCCCCCCAAATAAAAATAAAATAAAACCTCAAAGAATAAAAAGTGGGTGGTTGGGGGGTGCTCTGGTGTGGTTTGCTTCTTCTTTCCTATCATACATCTATCGTCCTTATCTCCCCTCCTTCTTTTTTATGTTTGTTACTCTCTTGTAACACTTCTAATCTTCTGGCGCTCATATGACCTTATGCAGTTGCGAGCGCCTTAAAACCTCTACTGAAACAAAACAAAAGAATAAAAATATGATAGTTGTTAAAAATGTTATCTTGTTTTGATTGTGTTTTGTTTGTTTCTCTCCCCACAGCGTTTCACCCAGTACCTTGCCTCCAACAACTGCTCCTTCAACCTCAGTGGCTTTGTGGACAAGGGGGGAGTACAAGGTGCGTATTTCTTCCCCCTGACTCAGCTCTTTAGTGCCCATTGTCCAACTATACTATAGTAGCCCTTTTTCTTCTGTGGATGCCTATTTCTTCCCTCAGTATATTCTTTGTGGGTGGTTGGCAGGTGCTCCGGTGTGGTTTGCTTCTTTTTTCCTCTATCAAACAGATATATTCCTTATTCTCCTCCTCTTTTTTGGGGGGGTGCGTGATTGTTGTTCTCTTGAAAAACGTCTAATCTCTAGCGCTTACATGACCTAATTGTGTTTCAAATGGTGTTTAATCCTTTTTTAAACGTGTGTCTTCAGTGCCGGTATACTTTTTACCCAGGTGCTTATAACGTTTATTATTTAAAACTCTCTCCCTATCGTTGTTCAAGGTTGTAATCTGTTTTTCCTGCAGCATTATGAGGGTCACATGGGTGGTTGTTGGCCATAAATGTCTCCTCCATTCAAAATTTTTCTTGACAAAATTTTTTGGTCCTAACCGAGCCAACTCTGCGATACACAGCCTCTCAACTACCAGGACAGAAGTTTTAGTGACGATTTATTATGAATTCATCTCTGGTGCTAGATAAAGAGGTCCCTCCAACCTTGTTTGCTTCTCCTGCTAGGCACAGTCAGTCTTGAGTTCAGAATTATTCTTCCATTAGCATTGTGTATGCAGCTTTGTTTTTGTTGTTATTTTTGTTTTGGTAAGTGTTTTACGGCACTGGCAACTGCATATGGAAATATGAGTGCGGGGCGGGGCGCGCCGGACACATTAAACATTTTCAGTTGAATGTTGCCCGGGTAGTGACAGAATCCTACTCTTATCGATTTTGGACCACCAAGGGATCTTTAACGTGCACCACTGAACTTGCACTCCAAGATTTTTCGCTCTTATCTGAGAAGGCTAGGTGTTACACCTTACTTACCGCATGATCAGGGGTGTGATTGAAAGACAGCACAATGAAGGATCAAAGGAGTAGAAGCAGAAAGGTTGCAGAAAAAGTCAGGAGCGCGGAGGATGGGGGCAAAGGATGGGGGCAAAGGATGGAGGAGGGAAGGGGGGGGGGAGAGAAAGTGGAGACAAAAGCAGAGGACTGAACATGGTTAAAGAGCAGGAAAGGAGGTTAAAGGAGAACATTTTAGAGAAGAAAATTTTCCGTTGCTGTCAGGTTTTGAACCGGGGACCTATTGAATGAGAGGCGAACACTCTAGTTTAGGAGAGCTCCTGTACGCAGCTTTGGTCTTTGGTAATAATATGTATGTTCTGTTATGTTCTTCAGAGTTTTGTATGAAAATAATTTTTGATGTGGGTAATGATATGTCCAGCTATTTTTTTCTTTTTATTCTTGTTTATCTCTGGGTTGTTTGTTCTTTTCAATGTTTCGGGGGGGGGGGTGTAATGAATTTTTAAAAACTGTTTTCTGTGTGATTATTTTTGCTTCCTTTTGATTTTTCCTTAAGGATATGATATGTCAACCTACATACGACGGTATGCCAAATATCTCAACGAGAAAGCTGTGTCCTACAGACTTATGGCATTTGACTTTTGTAAAGTAAAACGAGGGTAAGTAACTAATATACTTCATAGTGTAGGATTTATCTTGTTAGTTTTGAGATATTATGTCTTCAAAGTGTCTCAGTGTGTGATTGAATGGAGAGGCAATTAGCAACTAATAAAAAAAGACAAACAAAAACAAAGCGGAAAAAAATAAAACTTAGAAAAGAAAAGAAACTCTTTTCAAATGTAATTCTGGTCTGGTTATGTCTCTGATCTATCAGGGGATACGTTCCAAAAACATTCATAATATCTTTGCAACAGTACGTAAATTCTAGCGGGAGCAAAAAAAAAATTACTCTTTTTTTTCCTGAAGCTTCTGAATTCAAGAAGTATAGGATGTTCTTAAATATCTTCTGCTCTCCTTTTTTGCCTTGAGTTTTAGCATGTCTTTTGTCCTCAACTTGATGGCGTTTTGGTTCTGGTTTTGTTTGGGCGCAATACTCTAGGCAGTGCACAGGTCCACATTTTCGTTTTAACAGAAGGGTACTCATTAGTCTCTGTGACAAGTAAGTGAATGTTCCATCTTATGAAGCTGATGAACCACCTGATGTTATTACTTTATATCTGGGAGGTTATCTGTGCTGTGATGCCACATTAGAACTTGTTGAGCGATATCAGTTGTTGCTGAATGCAGCTTGTATGACTGTTTGAGTAGGAGAGAGAGCTGGGAGAGGCAGTTATCTCACCTAAAGTGTCTATGATAAACCTCTCAACATATTTACCTCTGCGGGATAAAAGACTTCAAGTTAAAAAGTGGATGGAGTGAGAAGCGGGATTTATCTCACAGCGTTCGCGGTTTCAAAATACCAAACTGATGAATGTAATCGGTGAGCATTAATGAGGGGAGCGATAAGTCTTGTTTCTCCTGTAGGTTAATCAGTGATGGGTTTAGAAGGAAGATATGGGTGTGACATTCTCGTCAAAGTAATTGAAGATTTTACAGTTGATATCTGGTTGAATGTATGAACAAGCACTGAGCTTCTCTTCCCATTAGTATTTACGCCTGTGTGTGTCTTAGTGTGTGTGCAATATATGTATTTGTGTGTGTGTGTGTGTGTGTGTGTGTGTGGTGCGCGCACGTGCATACAGAAAGTGTTTAGGGTTTGAAAACTATCTTGTTTTGCCGCAGATCTATCTTCCGTCTCTCTCTTTGACATGCTTTTTTTTTAGTAAGAGCATTACAGATACAAGAGTGTGAGAGATTATGGCCAAGAAAAGGAAAATTAAATTATAAGCAGAAAGTGCCAGTACTAAGATGCATTTTTTAGTCTGTCCGTATAGCCTGTCTTTCATGACACGCTGCTGGCATTGTTCACTTTATGTCTTTGTTCTGCTACTTGTTGTTAATTGATCTCACAGACTTTTGCTCTTTTGCTCAGAGCCTCAAATTGGTTGGAAGGCTCCACTGGTAGGTCTTTTTTCTTTTCTTTATCTCTGTTGTTTTTGTGTGTCTGTCGTACTCTGTCCCTGCACTAAAGGACCGTTGTTGTGTCGGTGTGCTTCTCTTTACTCAAATGAGCAAACTAATTAATTGTTCTGGTATGTTCAAGTGGGCTATTTTTGAACATGACAAGAAGCAGATGTATATATGATTTGTTTTTAAATAACATATTTTCCCTTAGGCAGCTGGATGGTTGACGGGCCTCACTGATAGGTCCTTCTCCTTAAGCTTTCCCTTTCCTGTTTCTGTCAGTCTTGCTTTTTTCCAGCAATCGAGTGACCAATATTGTGTCAGTTCAATTTATTCCTCATAACCGAGACTTGGGTTGCTGGAGAGAGCTACAGATGGATGCTATTTCTCTCCTTTCCCTCCACTGTTGCCCCCCCCCCCCCCCCAAGTTTTACTTTTAACCCTGCACAAAGAAGAACATGAGAGGGTGTCATTAACAATAAAAGCCTTTCAACTTTTTCACTGCTTCAATCTGCCAGTATGTTTTGATCTTTCAGAGCATAAATGACCATCCTTATGTCAGTACACCCCCCTTTTCATTCAAACATAGCAACCCGCGTAACCATCTTCATCTTACTGTTCCATCTCTTTATTTCAAATTCAAACTCATTGCTCATTTCAGCTGTGGAGGGGGTGGTTGGAGGGTGCTTCTGGTAGGTCTTACTTCTTAACTTTCCCTCTGCTGTTTCTGTCTGTCTGTCTTACTTTTTCCCAGCACTGAATAACCACTGATGTGCTTTTCTTTACTCAAACAGACGGAAAAGTCTGTTCTGTGTAACATATGTGTCCATGCTGCTCTCTCTGTTTTGAATATAGTCTGTTTTTAACAATAACATAATCTTTTTTTTCTTATTCACAACTCTTTTTCAGGAAAGAGGATGGATTACTTAGGACAATGAACACAGAAAAGGTTTGTATATTTTGCTAGCGCACAGTTAAAGTTGTCACAGATAGACCTGTTACTAGGTTGCCTGTTGACACAGTTTGATTTGTGTTATTTCTACTCAAATCATATCATGTTTTTTTAATATAAACATTGTAATTGTTTTCTTCCTATTATTTAAATTGTAATGGGCATAAGTAAATTCATTTACATCTCAGTGGCACCACTTGCGAACACATGCACGCATAAGCATGCGTGCACACACGCACACACACACACACACTCTCTCTCACACACACACACACACACACACTTTCTGTCACACACGCGCGCGCGCACACACACACACACACACACACACACTTCTCTTTCTTCTCACTTTGAGGTTAATTTTATATTAATTGTACTTAAAAGATTTTCCCCCTTCAGTAACATGTAACTGATAAATTTTGTTATAATTATTTGTAATGTAGTGAATAGATTGTGAAAAAGTCTCCTAATCAAGAATAACTCATGGCAGATAAGCTCAAAACATTAAAACAAAAGTTTTGGTGAAATCTGGAAAATGATCATTGTCTACTCTTGTGTCCACAGCTCTTGAAAACGTTGCCAGTATTACAGCAACAGTTGGACGCGTTACTGGAATTTGATGTAAGAAACCTTTGTAGTTCACACTGTGTTAATTCTGTGACTGATGATTAACCCTTTGAGCCCTAACCACCGGTACACTGGTGGCAGGTAAAACTGCCTGTATGTCCAGCCACAGGCACACTGATGGCTTCTTGTAAAACTGCTCGTATGCCTATCCACCGGTGCACCAGTGAGCGAGACCTTATCCCCAACCTGGCCTGCCTGGGACAAAAAACGCACACATGACATTATTGGTTATGTTGAAGCTCTTACTAAATATGATGCTGGTAATGACGAGTGCTGCCCTGAGTAGGATATGGGATGTCGTTCTAACAATGATATGAACGAAACCATTAATTGCTCAGGAGGTCTGGGCTTAACGGGTTAGGTAGTCGAACTTGCTCTGACGACCACTTCCCACTTCCCTCCTTGTGTTTTTCCAATATTCTAGTGACACTGTGGCAGACATTTGAAATGTATGGCATCATGAGCAATTGTTCGACAATGTTAGAACTCTATATACCAACAGCAGAAGTTCAGCAAGAACAAAGGAAGGCAATTCAGATTGGTTCAAAGTAAGATCTTGAGTACGACTAGGATGCATTTAACCCCTCTTCTTTTTATAGTATACATGAAAACGATAACATGAGATGCAAATCAAAGCCCATAAAGCTTAAATGAACTTCTGTTTGCAGACGACCAATAATGTCTTATTCATCCAAACCCAACAAAGCCTCCAGAATCACACCACGAGCTGAACGACAGCTGTGAGAAATATGACATGAGAATAAGGACAACAAAAACTGAAGTTATTCAAGTGAGCCAAAACCAGAGTCTCCTGAACATTCATGTCAATAGTAAACAACTAAAACAGGTCCAGGAGTTCAAATATCTTGGCAGCACTTTTTAATGAAATAGACAGAGAAGTATAAATGTTGACTCAAAAAGCCACACCGTCACCTGCCAGCTTGCACCCCTTCTCTCTTATTCAAACATTTCCATGGACACAAAGAGACGGCTTATCCTCTTAATATTTATACCAACGTTATGCCAGCAGTGTCAGACCTGGATGTTAAGTAAATCTGATGAAAGCAAAATCACTGCACGCGAGATGGAATGTTTCCACAAAACCCTTAACTTACATCACAAGAAGAGACAGGCAGAGAAATGAAGAAGTAAGAGCAACTACTGGCTCAGAATCCTGCCTGGATTTCACAGATAAACAGAGAATAAAATGGTTAGGCCACCCATTATGAATGCCACCGAGCCAGTCAGCCTCGAGAGCCTATAACACCAAGCACTCATGCTACAGAGGTACACCATGCAAAAGATGGATTAATTGAGTCAAGGAAACCCTGAGAAATTATAATATCCCAGTTGAAAGAGCTTGCAGAGTTGGTCTACCATAGAAAACTGCCTCTGCCCTCAGCACTTAATGGCAAGAGAGGATGAAAAAAGTAAGAGTACTGTCCAAGAAAGATCACCTGTTATAAGATGAGCGTTTTCTCCTCGATATTGGATAGTTGTTATGGATGGGTTCAAGTGTATTGTCTCCCTTGTTGAATAATTTTCATTTGGGAATAGCAGCATGAGTGACGAAAGTGTCCGTGCCGAATTCATTGCTGGAAATTCCAAGCCAGCTTCCACCCCCTACACAGACTCACACAACGTTTAAAGAAAGTCTCCTTCCACTCATTCCAATATTTTCTGTGATGCTGTATAATTGGGAATGCACTTGTAACTGTTGGTGTGTAAAGTGGGCCTTTTGTTTTTTCCTTATTATAACTCGATTGAAAAAGTAAACATGTTAGTGGGGAACTGTTCATTATTCTCTAAGGGAAAGTACAATGGTCTCTGCCCAATGGCACACACAACAAGAAAAAGATGCGCTAAATGGAGATGCGCTATTTATTGAATTTCAAAGGGGAGTGATGTAAAGTAAGTACTATGTCAAACTTCAATGATGGTCGTGAAACACCTCGCATCTTATATCCTGTTGTGAGTTGTGTCATTGAGTGGAGTTCAGCCTGAGGTGTGATGTTTTCCTAGGCAGAGCATTCACGGATAACGACGGTCATAATTATGGCATAGCACTCTCATACTGTCCCCCCACCAAGTATGGCCGGGCACTGACTTTCCACAGTGCACAATTCTGTCTCACACCATGTCTTTCTGTCCTCTGTTCCCTGGCAAAGCCATGATCTCTAGTAATAAAGGAGAGCATGTGTTATTTGCTTCATTTCCATCAATTCCAAGTGAAATGAGTATCTTTTATGGCTAATAGATTTCTGACTCTAGCTTAGATTGTACTGTTAGACGGAGTTGTCAATTTGGGACTTGCACTTAACAAGTGATGATTACCTGCAAAAAATTTTAGTTCTGCTCTGCCAGCATGCTTAAAGGTGGATCATGCTTCTACCCAGTTTGCTATTAGCTGGAGACCATTGTATTTACTTTTTAAAAAAAATGAAAATTGATCCATTTCCTTTCTTACTTATTAAAGTTATATTTTGTTTCGGGGATCAGACTTAAAAGTTAAAATTGGTTTCCCCATAAAGCAAGTGTGTTTTCATTCAAAATTTGCGGAACAAAAATGTTGAAATGTTGTTCAAGCGGTGGAGTAATAAATGTGCATTACAGAATTTTAATACCTGATCTGATCTTATCTTTACACTTTTTGTCTTGAAATGTAGTACTTGGTGTTTACTCTGCGTAATTTCCTGAGTTTGTTCCTCTCCAGTGCACACCCAATGAACTGACCAATGGCGTGATAACAGCCTGCTTCATGTTGTTGTTCAAAGACCTCATCAGGTTGTTTGCCTGCTACAATGACGGCATTATTAACTTATTAGGTGAGTCAAGACTTGATGTTTACAGAGCAGTTGTTGTTGTTGTTGTTGTTGTTGTTGGATGTGGGTTGTGATTGGCGCTCTCCGTGTTGTGCTTCTTTTACTTCTTCTATTTCTTCACGCTGTCATCTATTTTTGTTATCACCTGAAGTGAAATTTTTGTTATGAAGACTGGTAGAAAGTTATCGTTCAACAGTGTAGCTGAGGCTGAGTGGGTAGTTGGTGGGTGCTCTGGTGGGGTTTGCTTCTTCGTTCATATCAAATATCTGTCGTCCTTATCTCTCCCACTTTTTTTGTGCGTTACTCTCTTGTAAGACCTCTAATTTTTGGCATGGCCTAATTATGTTGCAAATGCCGTAAAACTCCTAGGAAAACTAAACTTAGCTGAGACTGCTTCTGGTTTTGAGGGTGTTTGTTTTTTTCATCTGTGCGGGTAGTTGGAGGGTGCCTCTGGAAGGTCCGACTTCTTTTTTTTTTTCTGTTGTTTCTGACTGTTTATCTTACTTGAAGGTGGTTGGAAGGTGCTCTGGTGCAGCTTGCACCTTCTTTCGCCTTAAATATCTGTTGTCCTTATCTCTCTTATTTCTTTTTTTTTGTTGTGTATGTTGTTCTCAAGTAACACCTCTAATTTTCGGCACTTATATAACCATATTGAGTTGTAAATGCCGTAAAACCCTTACTAAACTAAACCCCATCTTTCTTTTTTCTAAAACAAAATGACTGTTATCGTGTCTTTGTGATTTTATTTAGTGAGTGGTTGGTGGGTGCTCTGGTGTGGTTTGCTTCTTCTTTCCTAACAAACATCTATCGTACTTATCTCCCCTTCTTCTTTTTTTATGCTTTTTACTCTCTTGTAACACCTCTAATCTTCTGGTGCTCATATGACCTTATGCAGTTGCGAGCACCGTAAGACCTCTACTAAAACAGATTCGATTTACTCCAACAACTCCAACTATTGTTGTATTATTTCATCTGTAAGTGCCTAAAGACTACTTTGATTTTTGTTTCTAATGTGCTGGGGGTATAATCTCTTTAAGGAGGGGGGGGGGGCACCCTGAAAGTCCTGATTCAGCTCAGAACTATTGATTTTAAGTTGTAGGCATTTTTAGCTTCTTCGGCCTCTTTTTCATGGCATAAGAACCTCCTAAAGCCGTATCTCTTCCCATACCGGGCATGTTTGTCAGTGCCCTTTCCTCATGAAGTCAAGCTTTTATTTTTCTTTATCGACCGTTTTTTTTCTAAAAGTGGTTTTTCTATATACTTTTAAAAATAACTCCACCATTTTTCTTCCAGTCTTTATGAAATTTTCACAGAATGAAGAAAAGATGTAATACTAAATATTTCTGTGATGAATTTTTTATGTATGGAATAGTTTGTGGGTGGTTGGCGGGTGCTCTGGTGTGGTTTGCTTCTGCTTTCCTATCAAACATCTGGGCCTATCTACGAGACAACTTTCTTATCGATTCCTTTTTTTCCCATCTTTTGCAGAAAAATATTTTGACATGAATAAGAAGCAGTGTAAAGACGGTTTGGACTTGTACAAAAGGTTTTTGGTCCGCATGGATAAAGTATCAGAGTTTCTTAAAGTTGCAGAGGTATGTATGCGGTTTTTATTTTAAACGTTTCCTGTCTTTCTGGACATTCTTAGCTTTATTATGCTTAACTTTTAAATCTTTATCTTTTACTTGGTTTGAAAAAGCTCCTGTTACCTTTGCTTAAAGAATATAGTAAAGTTTTTCGAAGGCCATTGTCTTTTAATTTAACTGTGTCCCATTCTGAGTCCATGACTCGGTATATTGTATGAGAGGTTGGAGGGTGCCACTGGAAGCTCCTACTTCTTTACTCTCCCTCTACTTTTTTTCTGTTTGTCAGCCTGGTCAATTCCAAGCTCTCATTTACTGATATTGTTTCCTTTTCTTTCTCTGTACTTAAACTAAAACTTTTGTACCCATGCTGATTTTTGTGCATACGTGAGGAACAGAGTAGAAATATTTTAAGTTGTTAGCATAAAAACTGAACATTTGCCACTTTTGCTATACTTTTATTTCCATGCAGCAGTTATAGGGTTCAGAAAAGTTGAAAATTTATGGAGATGTATTGATGGTGCTTTGGTGTTGTTGGAAGTCTTGTGCATACAAGTGGTTGACTTTTTGGTCTCTTATGTCTGTTTTCTCTCCAGAACATGGGAATCGACAAAGGAGATATTCCAGACTTGGCAAAGGTAAGTCTCCCTTGGGGCATGCCAGGATGTCCTTGTTCTCGCATCATGTGTTCACCACTAAAAGTTGTGGTTGCAGAAGAGGATAAGGCAAAAAAGATGCTTTTTGTTTTGATGTGTGCATATCCTTCCTGTATTAGAGGCTTTCCTCCCTCTGTGTTTTTTGTAGGTGTTTTGTGTGCACTGTTCCCCCTTCACACTCAGAGCATAAAGCTGGTGGGTGATTGAGGGTGCCTATGGTAGGTCTTACTTTTGTACCCTCCTGTTGTTTTGTTTTTTTTTGGTCTGTTTCTTAGCATTGAATAACCGTTATTGTGTTGATGTGCTTCATTTCACTCAAACTCAAACTCAAACTCTTGTGTAGGTCAGAGTCAGATTTTATAGTGATACCATCAAAGGCTGTGGTCACTACCTTGATCTAGTCTCCACCAGACAAAGGCAGGCCAACAGTTGAAATAGGCACTAGTCGTTGAAGTGTACTTTGGTTTTGTCTTCTTTATTACTTTTTTAAGACATAGAAAGAAGAAAACAGTCTTGGACAGTATTCTTAGGCACCTGTGGGTCCCTATTGATAAATGACATACTAATCACAGCCACTTTGAAGCCTCCGGCTTTCATGACAAAAATTGTGGCTGGTCAACATTTATGGGTTAGACTAACTGGGTGGTCACCTCTTACCTGTTAGACTATCTAAGTCGTCATCACTTACCAGTATGACTATCTGAGTCGTCATCACTTGCCTGTTAGACTATCTAGGTGGTCACCACTAACCTTTTCAACTTAAAACTACTCTTTCTAATTTTGGTTGCACCCGTGATGAATACTTTATGGTTTTCTTTTGCAATGTAAAGTGCTTGCAAGTACAAAAAGCTAGCTAGATGTTTCTAGTTTCTGTCTAGTGTCTGATTTCTGCTTCGCTCTAATATCTCCTATATGTTGTCTTGCTTTTTGTTTCTGATTGTTGTGGTGAGTTGAAACTCACGTCTACAACTTCATAATCATTCGACCAATAAGAGATTGTAATTGTTATCAAAGATCACATGTAGTGTTATGAAAAAATCTTTGTCATCCTTGCACTGTCACATTGTTTCTTTGGTTAACGAGTGTTCTTTACCTGTGTCAGAACTTGCACTCCGATAAACAGACAATATATCTTGTTTTATAGTTAAGTCTTTGACTTCATTGTGCTACATGGAATTTTGATATTCGGTCCACGTCAATTAGGTATTTGCGTTTGATGACCTAGTATGACATTGTCCTAAATAGTACACAGCTAGTTATGAAAGGTTCTTGAATTCGTTTAGATATTGCATTAATGGCAGTTGAAAGTGAACTCTCAAGTTGATAGTTCGAAATGTAGCAGTTGAGCGTTTCTATGAAAGCACTTTTGATAATGTTGTTGTTGTTGTCATTGTTTATGTTGTCGTGTAGATGTTTTCGCCCGCGGTATGGTAGACCTGGTGTTCTCTGTGCACCGTGAAATTGTCTGTGCATTTTAATGTTGTGCATGAGGATTTCGTTTTATGATTTTCAACTTTTACTATCTTTTGACTGTCTGGACTCTCCTGTTTCCTGGGTTCTTTTTTTACTTTGTTGAGTCAGGTTATTCAGATATTACTAGAAATTATGATTTAAAGTTTGTTGACCCGAAGGTTTTTAATTTATCAGAACTGTACCCTAACATATTCGAAATGTAGGTCAATGGAGATAAAATTTTGCTGTTTGTCCTTGGAAAATATGAGACAGAGATATCGTTATCACTTGTGACTTGTTCAAGTAGTTGAAAATAGATATTGATGCTTTTTTTAAAAACAGGAGTGGTTGGGGTTCACTGGTATGATAATGACAGGACACATGCATTCGAATAATGTTTATATGTACCTGATCTTAGTTGATTTATGCCACTGAGAAGTCAACTGTATTCTGTCAATTCACCTCTCTTTAGGATGAAGGAAAAGGCTTTTCCTCTCTCGTACAGAAGGTACACTTACAATATTTAAAGAAATAAACTTTCTTTTCTTTTTACAATTCTTGTACGCACCAATTTTTAATCCAATCCTGCCTCCCCAGTGGTCTCCCATTTTATTTTTAAGTCAGTTTTGAATGCAAGCCTCACTGGTTCCCCCTCCTCCCACATCCGGCATCAGCCTTAAGTTGTCACAGATTGCCTTATTTGACCAGCATGCTTTGCAGTGCTCAAGAGTTTACAAATTTATGATTTATGAAACCTGTTGGCATGCAGACTTCATGCTATTTGTTATGGTTTTATTATTTTTAATTTTGGGTTTTTCAAGCTTTGTTTTATTTCCAATAAACAACAATGCCAGCATGCTTAACAAAACAGATTTTAGAAAAAATAAAGTTTAAATTTTAAGATTTTTTTTTAGAGATGGGTAAAGGGAGAGAGATTACAAGAGAAAAGGCATCATATTTCCAGTTTTCCCTTTGAATTCCATTTGCTCAAATCTGATGACTGAAATACTAACTCGGCAACTTGTGTTAATAAGATTTGGGATTTGCTTTTTTCTTTTTTCTTTTCCTTCTCTTCTCAATTTCTTCTTTTAGTTCTGGTTTGACTAAAGTGTAACAGAATTGGGAGACCGTGCTCTTTCTGTGATGGTAAAGTGTGGTTGTCTTCTAAAAGTTCTTTTTTTTGTTGTTGTTGTTACAGTCACATCCTTTCTTTGTTGACCTCAGGGTTGGTGAGAATGTGTGTATATGAGTGTATGCACCTGAAAGCTGTTTTTTTTAAAGTAGTTACTTTTTGCTTCATCCTCCGTGGTGAAATATTATAGGGACAGCATAATAAAGTTCATCAGGGAATTTAGTTAGAGTTACTGTTTCTGGCGCGGAATATGATAATTATGTATTTCAAGTCGGTTAGTGGGTGATTCCAGAGATTTTGAAGTTGCTGTTTCTCCCCGGTTAATTTGTGACCTGTATGGGTGGTGGTTGGGACACACTCTCTCTAGTCTATTCTTCCTTCTTCTTTTCATGTTGCTATTGTTCTTATTCCGTACTGGTAAAATGTGACTGTTACAGTGCCAGGAGACTGTTGTCTTGTTTGGTTTTAAATTTTGCCTCTTGTCTGCGATATTTTTTTTTCTTTTTCTTTTTTTTTTGATTAACATACTCTGTGTTGCAGTTGTCGTGTTGGCGTCAGTTTCTGTGTTCCAAATATGTTGTCCCATCGTCTGTGAAACTACAACGGTAGTGCTCTTCACCTTGCACACAAATGGTGTGAGTTCAGTTCTCACACAAGAATAATACTTATGAAGAATGCTCATCTTTTTGCTGAAGTGATGTGTTTCATTCAGCCTAAGTTAGCTGGGACAGGCAGGGCGGGGTAGAATTAGCCCACCTCCCAAATGACGTGAACAGATAATCGGTGGGAGCATAAAGTGCTAACAGTCAATCGTAACTACTCTGTGTATTTTGTGCTAATTTTTTGTTTTTCTGTGATTTTTTTAGCTCATGTGTTCAGTGCTGGATGTCCTAGAGTCATAGTTTGAATATTATGCATAGTAGAGGTGTGACCAGTGATCAAAGTCTCAAGTTTTGCTTGTTTTTGGGGAAGGTGTTGTGGACATGGTGTGGGTGACTTGAGTTTGGATCCCTGCAGTTGTATAAGTTAGGTTGTTGAGAGAGGTGATATCTCAAGACTCTCTTCCCTGTCCTAGTAAAGATAAAAGTCAACTTTAGGTATGTTCTTAAGTCCCCAGCATAATGATGAATAAATTGTAAGAATAGAACTGAGAGTGAGGGATGTTTCCAATACTTTAATTTCATTATTGAGACTTTGTTCACTTACTTGTACATATCCATATGTGTGCTCATTGATAGAAGTTACCAGTGTGGTTTTTGCTTTGACTGTGGGAACCTCTTTTGACATGAGACTGATGTTCTGGTCATATGTGTGCTTACTGTGGGGAACTCACTTGGTTTAAAGACTGCCAATTGTACAATGGGTTTTTCCCAAAACCCATTGTGCAAGTCTTGATTCTTTTTGGGAGTTTGTTTTTTTTTAAATTAAATTTCCCAGCTGAGCGCATGCCAAGGAAAAGGCTACGTCTAAGCTATAAGTGTGTGGTCCTTTTTTTAACGGAAATAACAAACTCATGGTTTCTTCCTTGTTGGTAAATGCTGGGAAACTGAACTGGGGGACTGGACTCCATTTTGCGATGGAACTAAAGTCAGCAGTCATGCAGTCTGTCCTAGGCTTTTATTTCTTCTAAATTCATCTTCTATCATACATGTTTGGCTCTCCACCTCTCCCATTTTTATCCCCAGAATTATGTTTAGTCCAACGATTGCTAACTCTGGCCTACCTCATCTCTGTTCATCCCTTTGTCATTATCCCCCTCCCTCCCCTTCCCATCCTTTGAAAGAACCAATAAATAACCAAAAAAGTTTTGTGCCAGACCATGAGTCTTTCAAGAGAGGTTCTACAGAATCTTAGGTTCAGTCTAATGGTCGTTTCAACATTTTCATTTCAATTTTTGTTGCATTTATTTGCAGAGTATAAAAGGAAATGCCAAATCAGTAAGTGTTTGAGCTAGTTCCTCAGCATAAAAAGAACTCGTTTATACAGCTCGCTTCCTTTTTCGCTGACTAGTGTTTTATTACTAATCATCAAAAGTCTGGCATGTTGAAATGATTGATTACACAAAAGCCTGACGACTGCTTGAGCTGGAAAGAACACAAAAGGAAAAGTTGTTGATTTCATACTATAGTCTACCTTTGCAAATGCTTCGTTTTAGATGTGGAGGAAATCATGATTTTTTTTTTCTCTTTAAAAAAACAAACAAACGGTATAATCTTTGCAAGGTTATGGAATTTTCTTATCTTATCACAGCCATACTTTCTCAGTCCTACCCCTTTTAAACTGTGATGATTTAGCTCTAGGAAGTCTTAATAAGCTCAAAAAGCTGAAGGCGTCAAATTTGGGCATCAGCAAACAGGCAGCGCTGACAGTTCTGATATGGTACATTTTTCATTCTAAGTTCTTTATGATATTTGATGAGAAAAAGTTATGATGATGTACCCCAATGGCTGGTCATACCTTTCACAAAACTTTAGTATATAGCATTATGATTTGCAAGGAATTAGAAAAGTGCTGTCTGTACGTAGTTTAAATCTGCACATTATCACCGCAATTTTATCATCTCTTTTTCACTTGAAATATTGGTCTGAATGTAAACCAATTCTGTTGTCTCTTATGCACACTAAATAGAAACCTAAATTTAAATAATTTTCTTTTCTCGCTCTTTTCACATGAGACAGTATAAGATCATCAGTAAGAAAGATTTGGGTTGTACTTGTAGATTGCCTTGAATCATCCTGAAAGCCTTGACTGAGATCTGAGTGTTTCTGTGATACTCTTAGCCTGTTGGGTTGTTGGTCGATGCACTCTGTGCTTGCTCTCGTAGTGTGCTGGACTGCCAGGATCTGTAGCACCTCTCTTGACCCCCCCTCAGAACGTCTCGACTTTGAATTTTCTTCACACATGTCTACTGGAGAATATTATGGGCTGTTCTCACAAGGCTGTTTAACTATTGTGTGGTCAAAGATTTGGGGCGCAACTTATCCTTAAATATCTTTTGAATGGGTGAATCAATGTCCCCCCATACTTTGAATAGCAGTTTGTATTAATTTGTCTTGACGCAATCATATTTTTGCACGACAATTGAGGCAAGACTAAAAAAAACTTTTCTTCATAGATTTAAATAAAATACTACACAACTCTTGGTCACGTGGTAAACGGAAGTGTTCACTACACTTACGACTTCTCACACACATTTTGCTCATCATTTGGTCTGCATATCTGCTAACCAATGATACTCTTTAGTTGCAAAACTTACTTTAAAAGAAAAATTATAGTGAACACTTTTCTTATACTAGGTTTTCGAAACACGTTCAGTAAGCCTAGTGTCACGATTAGAACAAAGGACAGACTTGCTTTTAAAGTGATATTTTCCCAGCTCATTGGATGGAAACCTTTTAAAAATCTGCAGTAACCGCCCATCTAGATTTTTTATTGGTGTTCATTAGGGAATGTTCTAGAATAAAGCTAATGGGTGTTTAAAAAATGTTGATATGGAAAGACAAGTTGATACAAATCATTGTGTAAAAGGTGGAGAGTCTATGTTCGAGAGTTGCGGAAAGATTTGACAATAAGAGTTGCGCCACAATTTTTGGATGGCACTGTAAATGGAAAGTTACGCTCTTTTATCATTTGATGTTGAAATCCTTACTAGCGTCTATGGTATAATGGTTAACTCTTCACTGTTGCTGGCTGGTTTTTTTAATTGAGCATCACCATCTGACTGCTGGGATTTTGTATCTCACTTAGGCCCGGGCTGACCCTGATGACCAGAGTCAAAGCAGTCAGCTTCTCAAATGATCTTAATTGTGTGGGTGGGGTCATAAAACATTACAATTCAGTCGAGTTTAATGGGTCTCAATGAAATTTAATAGTTTAGATGAGGATTCAGCACTTTCGTCAATCCACTCCGCTCGTATGAAATAGCATTGTGTGAACAGCATTTTAGTCGCACTGTTTTAGCCTTGCCCCTCCTGTTGCATTGCTTATAGGTCTTATCACTGTTCATCAGTGGAGAAAAAAAGGTGTTGCTGGAAGCATGGATAACAAGAGTAGCAGCTCTTTTTTGTATGAATCATGAGAAAATCAGCTTTTTTTCTCTTAAATGATCTTGGTCATCTCGGTTCAGTGATAAGTCTAAGTCAATCATCGAATGACGGGCTCATGTAAATCCATTTTTACTCCCAAATAAGAGATTTGCTTGTGGACTGAGATAGAAATTTTGACTATCGTAGTGAAACTGCTCTTCTTCAACCCTCTTTGCCCTCCCAGTCCCACCTTCATGCTGTCTTTTTTTTTGTGTGTTTGCGCTTCAGGCTCAACCTGTTCCTGGCTCAGCTTGTCCTCTTTGTTTTGGGGGGAATTTTCGTCTTTTTGTTTTTGTTTTTGTGATGTTTTTTAATCAAAATTTTGAATAATTTTTTAAAAACAATTGTCTTGGGAATTCAATGTATGGTCTAATAACAGTTATATCCTAATAATTGTTTAATTGTGATCAGAATTGATTTAGTAAATATTACCACTGTAATACCATTTTCTTCTCATATTGATGAAAATCAAAAAGAGTGAGGGGGGGGGGGGGGGGGGGGGGGAGTTGTTAACTTAAAATGAAGCCGAGGGATTGCTTAATTGTGTGTCCTTTTGTTTTATCATTTAATTTTGTGCATGGCCCATCTCTAACAGCAGCATATAGTTCTGGGTTTTGTCAGGTCAATAATCGGTTTTTGCAATACGTATAACTCTGCCTTATAATACTGCATGCCTCTTGCTCTTGTGATAACCTTGTATTTTTTGTATTCACATGTCTATTGTTTTGGGTTTTTTCATTCTTTGCCATGTAGCCCTTGTTACCTCTTATGATGTCATTTGTGCTATAGGGATATCATGTTTTCTTTGTTGTCCTTGTTTGTTATAAGAATTAAATTGTCAGTTTTTATTCAATAGGTGTGGGAGATGTGGGTGGTTGGCGGGGTGCTCTGATGTGGTTTGCTCCTTTTCCTATCAAACATTTAATGTCTTGATCTCTCCTCGTTCTTTTTTGTGTTTATTACTTTATTGTAACACATTTTATCTTTGGCACTCATATGGCTTTATTGTGTTGCAAGTGCCATAAAACTCTTACTAAAGCTAAAAGGTGGTTGGAGACAGCCACTGGTAGGTCTTACTTTGGGGTTCCATTTTATGTCACAAGGGTGGTTGGAGGGTGCCACTGGTAGGTCCTACTTCTTTTCCTTCTTTCTGTTGTTTCTGTCGTGCTTTTCCCTGCATTAAACGACTGTTATTGTGTGCTTTGCTCAAAGAAACAATTTATATGCTACAATGATCCTAATCTGCCTCCTTGTCTTTTGTCGTGGTCTACGATTATTGGCTGTAGAGTAAAAAGTGCTGGGGTCGGAGGGTCATCTTTTTACGTCTTCCCTGCACTATGTGACTGTTGAAGTGTCGATGCGCTTCTCTTTACTCAAACTGAAGAGGATAAAGTCAAATAAAAAAAAGTATGAACTGATTAATTTGATGTTGGTTTAGTGGATGGTTAGAAAAGCTTAATGGGGGGGTCAAGTGGAATGGTTTGTGGTGAGCTCACTCTGCTTCTTTTCAGTATTGTGATTAAAATGTGGACCTTGTTATGCAGAGTCATGACCGTAAACGCCACCTCAGCATCAGTGAAAGACAAAAAGAATTAATGGTGTACTACGAAGTAGCCCAGTGGGTGGTTGGTGGCTGCTCTGTTTGCTCCTTTTTGCCCTATAAAGCATCTGTCGTCCTTATCTCTCCTCCTTCTTTTTCATGTTTGTTACTCTCTTGTAACACGTCTAATCATCAGCAGTTCTATGACCTTATTATGTTGCAAGTGTCGTAGAACTCTTATTAAAACATTCTTTAATCAAATTAGACTCATGGCACCACTGGTTAGTTCTACCTCTTTATTGTCCTTCTTTTTAAAAAAAATCTATTTCTCTTTCCACAGCAATGAATGACCATTATTGTGTCCATGTACTTTGCCCTTTCTCAAAACTCAGACTTTCACGTGAGCTAATTATGTTGCAAGGGCCGTAAAACTCTTACTAACTACAAAACTCAAAGACTTAAACTAGACGGAAATGTGGCTATAACCTGTGCTCGTTAACCTGTGTTAAATGTGCTTTTCTTAAACTCAGTACTCGAACCCTCCCCCAATGGGATGATGTGTGTGCTCTGTGTGCTGAACCACATGTCTGTCTGTCTGTGTGTCCCCAGGCCCCGGCCAGTCTGCTGGATGCCCTGGAGCAACACCTGGCCTCACTGGAGGGCAAGAAAGGCGTGGCCACCACGCCCACCAGTGCCAGCAAGTAAGCCATACGGGACACGCCCACTTTGGTGTGCTTCTGATTCCTCCTATTTTCAGTGCTTATGTTGTTCCACATCTTGCTCTCTTGAAGATTTTACTCTTCTCTATTCTTGGTGGGGGGTTGGAGGGTGGTACTGGAAGGTTCTACTTCTTTACTTTCCTTCTGTTGTTGTTGTTTTTTTTTTGGTCTTGTCTGTCTTACTTTTTTCAAGCGCTAAATGACCATTATTGTGTCAATACGCTTCTCTTAACTTAAACAAAACTGACTGTGCAGCCTTTACCAAGATAGCACTCTTTACAAAATGCAGCTCACTCTTTCCAGACTGGGTGCACTCACTCTCACCAATGAAATTGTGTGTGTAGCCTCTTTCTCCTCTCCTTGCATCGGCTATGCGAACTCACTACCAGCGTGGGTATTTGGTGGGTGCTTTGGAAGGGTATGCTCCTTCTTTCCTACCAGACATCTATCTTCCTTGTCTCTTCTCATTGTTTTTGTTTTTTTTGGTGCTTGTTACACCATGTTGCAAGTGCCGTAAAACTCTTACTTGTAAAATAAAACCTGAGTAGTCAGTTATATTGTGTGCTGTCTGTTGTCTGGCCATGTCTATGGCCACTACTCTTTCCTCCTTCTGGATTCTGTGCTGTCTTATGTCATATCGTCACGCTCATAAGATAATTGCCTAAGTCATTTTTGGCTGGTTTGGAGTTTTTGGTTCTGAAGTGAAGGGTAGAGCTAGCTTTGCAATATAGTTCACTTGGACAAAAGAATAATCCAAGTACAAAATCCATTGAGTGTACCAAAGTTTAAGTGTTTTACCGAGTCAGTTGTCCGAAAGAAAGTTTTTTCCTCATTTTCTCAAAATGAGTAAAAATGATGAAGACATTTAGCTTATGAGCGTGACGATATGTCTGTTCCCTTTTCTCACACTGTGAGTTGCTGACTCAGCGCGGCCTTCTTCTTTAAATCAATGTTATTGGGTGGTTGGTGAGTTTTCAGGTGAAGTTTCTTTGTCCTTATCTCTCCTCCTTTTTTATGTTACTGTCTTGTAACACCTCATATCTTTGGAACTTATACGATCTAATTATGTTGGAAGTGCCATAAAATGCTTACTACTAAAACAAAACAAATCAATGTTAGAGGATAATATTTTGACGTATGCAAGTCTCTTATTGTATGTTCTTTAGAGCTGTTTGAATAATATTGGGAACAGATGGGTAGAGAAATTAAACAAAAAACAAACAAAAACAAAACGAGCTACTGGCAGCACTGTGTGGCTGTGCTGTGTGTTTGTGTCTCTTGGCATGGCTGAGAGAGTATCAAATGTCTTGTCTTACATCAATGATTCACTGTGTGTGTGTTTGTGCTGGTGAGTTCTATTAGTGACGTGAGTAGTGGGACTGTTGTCACAGCTGTGTGTGTTTGTGTGTTTTTTTGTGTGTCTGTGTGTGTATGTGCGTGTGTGCTCGTATTCGGGTGAGTGACATGTGACATAGATACTAGTGTCAGCTGTCGCCATTCTATGCCTCTGTGGGTTTGCTTCATTTGCCGGGACATGTCTACAGCAGGTGATGCAATTTGAGAAAGGTATAGCTTATGTGTTGTCGGCAATTAACCCCGCCGTGCTCATTTGTTCCCTCTCTCTGTCTGTCTGCCTGCATGTGTTACTGTTACATTCTGTGTTCATTTGTTCTCTCTCTCCCTCTCTCTTTCCTTCTCACAGCGCCTGTGTGTTTGTGTGTGTGTGTGTGTCAATGTTTTTACACTGTGTACGTTTGTCATATGTTTCTTGTTCAGTCGGTGTTACTGTTCCACACTGTGTTTGTTTAATCTGTGTGTATTCCTGCAATACATCGTGTACGTTAATAACATGCCTGTGGCTAAGTTATCACGGGTGGCTCTCACATGCTGTATCTGTGGCCAGCGGTTGTCATGTTACTCCTCTGCGTGTCACTGTTCCAGACCGGCCGGCTTTGCCTCAGCACTTAACACAATGACCACCAACACATTCAATGTCTCGGAAGCTGAGAAGAAGAAAATCTTGGAAGAGGAGACCCAGTACTTGCAGAAACTAAAGGTGAGTTGTTTTCTTTAGCTGCTGGGACAATCTATTGCAACACGGTTATATTAAAACATTGTCTTGTCAAGCATTCTTCTATCAAAATTTTGCCCCTTAAAAAATAATTCCATGTGGAAAATTTGTCCTGTCAAAACCCTGTTTTATCAGAATAATTTCGGCTCAAAACACACTCAGTTCAAAACTGGCTTTCAAAATCATTTCCAGAGGTTTTCTTAGGGTAACACTCCCTCCTCCCATTATGGGTAAATGTCAGATAAAATAATAGTTTGCTTTACATTTTTTTTTCTTACTTCTCGGTTGATGCCTTCTTTGATATGGTACTCTGCATCTAGTTCTTGTCTACGTTATTGTTGTCTTTGTTTCCTAGGGCAGTTTTGTCATTGTCTTATCATCTATACTGAATATGTTCTTATTTTAGAATATGTTTCTTTAGATGGGTGGTTGGAGGGCACCACTAATAGATTCTACTTCATTTTTTACCCACTGTTGTTTGTGTCAGTCTTTTTTTTCCTTACACTAAATTACCATTATCATGTTTATGTGCTTCTCTTTTCCTGCTCATTTGCTCAGTTCTTGGGATTTACCGAAAAGCGTCTCCTTTTGTGGGTGGGCTAGAATACATTTGTGTTACAATGCAGTGGAATCTGTGAATCAGGTGCTTGTCAGTTTTTGGCCATGTGGACTTGTTGATGTCATCTTAAAGCTGGTTCTTTTTTTCTGCTTTCAATACCCATCTATCATGAATAGAAGTCAAAATATTAATTTGTGATTGAAGGAGGTGGGGATTGTCGGGTTTCAGAGGTAAAATAAGCGGAAAAAATGGCCACCCAAGTTTTGACTTCAAAGATTTAGAGTCCTTGGAAACTGCAAATTTATGTTTTTGTGCATTTAATCATTTTTCAGAGAGATTCTCACATAATTGTTTTTAAATTAACTTAAAAGGTGTTAGGCCAAAAAAAAAACTAAAATTCAAATGAAATTACAGAACCAGCGGACAAATGTCGGTTGATTTGAATTCATTTTTTGACAAACACCTGATTTTTACCACAGTGCCTCACATTTTTCTTTTGCTCATGTACTTTCATATGTCAGACATCTTGTACATGTGTCAGTGATTTTTTTGTGCAGTAGGTCAAAAATGAGTTTAGTTGCCCTGGATAGCTCTTGCCTCTCAGTCTTGTCTGTTTTTGTCATGATATACTCTGCTTTGTATCATGAAAGTGTTTCTAAAGAGGGGCAAGTTGTTTGTTTAAAATAAAGAGAAAAACAAACAGATGGTTTCTGCAGTTAATTGGATTTGTGTCATTGGGTTGGAATTTTTGCTTTAAATTTGTCAGGTATGTTGGTAGAATTAAGTTCTGCAATTACATGCATGGATTTAAACTCAAGTTTTATCAAATGAGGAGTGTTTTCTGCCAATATGTTATCTACCAGTCTTTAGGAGTAATTTATGTTGACTTGTGTGTGAAGATCATGTCAGATTTCCATCATAGGAGCTGTATTTCTTTTTATCAAATCAGAAGAAGGATATGGTGAGATAAGGATAAAGACGACTATTTCTGAAGTCGAACATAAATCATTGTGATAGAATTTTGTGACTATGCGAGCTTGTAGATGTGATAGGATTGTTAATTTATCTAGAGAAGCTTTTCATGAAGAAATAAGGCATTGATGTGTCAGTTGCTGGTAATGACTTTTCTCGTTATTTTTGGTAGTTGTCCTGTGAGCATAACTTTACGGTATAAGATGCACATGTGAATAGACAAGCATACTGAGCTCAGATAAGGCCTCCCACTGATGAATTCATACACATGATCGGTTGAGCATGTTAGGGCACACACACATTCACATTTTGGCACACTCTCGCGCATTCTTAACACATTCACACAGACACCGGCACAGCACACGCTCACACACACACACACACACACACACACACACACACACACACATACACACACTCAGACTCTCACACACTCTTACATACATAAACACACGCTCTCTCACACACACACACACACACACACACACACACACACACACACACACACACACACACACACACACACCACACACCACACACACATACACACACACGCTCAGAGAGAGAGAGAGAGGCCCACACTTCCACATCCATGGGAATGCATTGACATAATGTGTGCGATGACGTTTTCAGTGCTGTCACAAACTGATGCGTAGTATTATAGCGCTAAGGTTTCCATACATATTCATGTACCCGTGCACACATTAATTTTTTGGTCATATGATAAGCTAAACACACCTAGTCATACATCATGGGTAGATGAAGGGCGCCTCTGTTATATGTGTGCCGTAACTGTGTTATTTCTCTCTGCCTGTTTCACTTTATCCCATCTTTAAATGATCATTATTGCACCTTTGTGCATTTCCTTTACTCAAAACTCAAACAAAGTAGGTGGTAGGCCAGTGCTCTGGTGTGGTTTGCTCCTTCTTTCTTATCCAACATCTATCATCCTTATTTCTCCTTCTTTTTTATATTTGTTACTCTCTTGTAAAACATCTCCAATCTTCGGCACTTATATGACCTCATTGTGTTGCAAATGCTGTAAAATGCTTTACTGAAACCACCCCCCCCCCCAAAAAAAACAAAAAAACTCACCACATAATATACAGATTTTAATAGCATTAATTAATGAAACTGGAATGACTGCTGTCAGGTTCCCCGAGCCACAGGGTGTGGTGTGTTTGTACATTGATATTTATAAGTCTGTGGGGCTGCTAGTTATTAGTTAGTTACAGTGGCGTCGGTGGCCTAGTGGTTAGGCTCTCGAACTCGCAACCGTAATGTCGAGGGTTCGAATCCCGTCACGGGCTCGACGTTGTGTCCTTGGGAAAGGCACTTTGCACAAATTTTCCTCACTTCACCCAGGTGGAAATGGGTACCCGGCTATAGACACATTTATCAATAAATTGACGGATCTGACTAAAATGTATAATGAAATCATACGTCTGAAAGTTGAGAAAGCCTTTCTGCATTTGGTTCTGTGCTGTCCATGTTGTGTTAGGTGTGTCACTTTGTTCAAAAGTTATCAGTTTGCTGTCTCGAATGTCGGTTTTTTTCTTCCTGCGTGCTCTCTTTTTTTTTAGTCATAACACCTTAATTTTATCTTCACACTTTGCTTCGAACTATTAAAATGTATTTTCTCTATAACAAGACTCCTGTATGCATTACTATTTTGTGTATGAAAACATTTTGCATCCTGTACATTTTGTGTGCACTTGTACTTACTTTTTGTATACTTGGAATAACCTTTTTCTTTTTCTTCTCTTGGAATTTGTTATTTCAAATCTCATTGACTTAATAAAAAAAAATATGCAAAGGAATTGCCCTTTCATTACTTGATTTCGGTCAACAAATAGAACGTTGATTTTTTTGCACCAAAACTTTTCAGCTTATCATTCATTTGCTTAAAAAAATCTTTTGGAGTTATTTTTAATACATTATGCAAAAGGAGGGGGGGGGGGGTATCATTTGATTAAATTTTTTTTTGGGGGGGGGATGTATTGTTTTGTTTGTTTGTTGTTGTTTTTTCGATTCCTGGGCCTAAGAACATGTGTTTAAATCTTCCATTCTTTTTATGTGTTTCTCCCTTCTCCTGCTTGTGAACTGAATGACAACAGTGTGTCTTTGCCATGGCTTGTATCTTGTGCACTTTTCATTTATGGTCCTGACTGAAGTCTTCAGACTGTAACATTGGTTGTGAATGACACAGTTTTTGAGTATGTCTTTTTGTGCTTTCCTCCGTCTTGGGCTTTGCTCTGGAGTGTCCAATATTCAAACCCTGCCAACCTCTCGATGGTCACGAGATATTTTAGATTTTTCTCTGCAGATTGTGGGAAAAATTTGTGTCAACAAAAATGCGTCTTATTTATATTTGCGTACTCGTAGAAGTGGCAATGCTAAGTGCCTGACCGTTTTCAGATTTTGATTAATTTTGAAATGTTGTTCATAGGTAAACCACCTTGTTAATGATCTAAATTATGTCAGTGGGACAGTAGGCCTACAACGCGTACAGTTTTTTTCTTTGTTATTTAAGTAGTATTGTGTTTGTGTGAGATATAATTAATGGTTAACTTTAAGTACAGGAAACATTTCCATGGTGTAGGTTTGTACGATCTCTGTCTTGTTCTCGTGATTGAATTGTCCATCTTGAACAAGCCCGATGATGATGATGACCCTGTGTGAATAAACCATATATTTTGCTTGTGCCGCCCTCGCTACAATCTCTCGAGCAGGCTTCGGATGAGACTCAACCCAGTGTTGAGCCTGAAGGAGAAGCCGGCGGGGAGAATATTTTTGTGAGTAGATTCCTCGTCACACTTTGTGCCGCAGATATGTGAGCAGAGATGATCCCTCCCTCCCTCCCTTCTTATGTCCCCTTCTCACTCATGGCCACTACCTCCCCCTCCCCACCCCCCACCCCCGCCAGACCCTTCATTTGTCTAATTCCATCCCTACCAGACCATCAGTTCCCAGTTCTTCCTTGTATTATCAGTAATTGTGGTCTCCTAATTAGTTGTTTTGAAAAGGAAAGGAAAAAGAAGACAGCTGAAAGAACCTTTTATTTTAAAAAAAAGAAGAAAAGTATAATTTTCATCCGAGCATTATACTCTCTGAGCAGCCCTTGTGGGGACCTTGTTTGACGCTTTGTCTTTACTTACCCAACATTAACCCCTAACACATTTGGCGCAAATCTTTTGTTACATAAGTTTGCATTTGTTGAATTGTTGAATTTTTGAATTTTTGGCGTAATAAGCATTATACTTGCTCCTTGTTGTGTTAGTTTTCCGGTTCCACTCTCCCTTAGTTTTTGGGCGCCCCCCCCCCCCCCCCCCTTCCCCAATAGACATTAATACACAATAGCCGTGTACATATCGCCATCACTTTTTCTTTGGAAAAGAGGGAGGAAATTGTGTACCCACCCACTCAGTTTATGTTTTTGTTCTTTCCCTGAACATTTGTGAAATGAAAGCTTTCTGTACGGAGTTAGAACTGCTCCTTTATTTATTCCTGGCATATTTCTCAAGTAGTTCTCTCGATTTTACGGAGCTATACCTCAGTGATGAGTTTTTCCGCTGTCAAATAGTAGATTTAATGCCGTGATTTATGGACAAATAATTTAATCAGGAAGATAAGGGTAGGTTTAAGTAGGTCTGATGATGGCCTAGAGTCTACTGTGAACAGATCATCTTTGCTATCATGTTGGTGTGATGGCTTCAGTTATTTTCTATCCCCCTCTCCTGCCCCTCCCCTCCCACTCCCTTGTAGAACTGTTCACCCGTCATATATTTTGTCTCACTAGTAGTCAGACCTAGATCTGTGTGTTGCATCGATTGGTTGGTAGGTTACGTAGTTCTATCTCGATTCTTCTTTTGGTTTTGTTTTGAAAAAAGAAATTGTTTTGTCGTTCCTGTTATCAGTTTGTGTTTGCGTGTGTTGCGTTTTCAGTAGATGTGAAAAGCATGCATTTTTTTCTCTCAGAGAGAGTTGTGAGACTTAAAAAGTCTGATAGTGGAGCTCTGAGAGGATTTCCTATCTTTCATACTGAAGCCTTCCTCAGTTCCTTTTTTTCTCGTGTCTATCTTCACAAATAGATGTAAAGCCTATAAGGTACAAGATTCCTTTTTTTGTCAGGACAATGAAAAATTACTCACTGTTGTTTATGCACGTTCGTCTGAAGGAGGATATAGATTTTTTCTGCAATCTATATCCTCGTTATAGATGGTCGTATTTAAACAAGAAAAAAAATGTTGGAAAAGTAGGTGACATGTCACATAACTAAAAAGGTAAATATTTTTTTAGAACATGTAGAAAAGGTTTGTTGAGCTAAGCTGTCAAGAACTAAGCAAAGTTGTTAAGAATGAAGCATAGCTTTAGAAACAAGGGGGGGGAAAAAACGTTTAAGTACTGCATGTTCTAATCACTGTGCAGTGCTTCAGAGGACTGACCATGGCCATCCTGTTGAGAGGCGCTGCTTTATTCCACTGTTTGGTTCTACCTGACCCTCCCGACTATGTTAACTCACAATGTTACTCACCAGTGTACCTTGACTAACTGGAACATTATCATAACTGTCTTTCCTTTATCTACTCTCCCACCCCTAGCATGGTCCACGTTTACCATTTGACCTTTCTTGGTCATCATGAGATCAGGATTTGGGAACTATTGCTTTTTGTTTGTTTCTTATGATTTATTTTTATTTTTTTTAAAACCAAATTTACATTTGACTTTGTACACACATTTGTACATTTTCCATATTGATATAAAGGGCATTGTGAGATTGAGTCTTTTAGTGACTGCTGAAGTGTAGCTGTGAAGACTATAGAGTGTCATATATTTGCGTCAGTCAAATTCTGTAAAGTCTTTTTGAATGTAAAGGCTTAACATGTTTTTGAATCTAGTTTGATAAACGCAACAAAATCTTTGACATACTGAACCACAAAGAAAATCAGAAAAGCACCTTTTAGAACATTTTTGATT